CTCAAGTTTATGCAGAGCCAGTGTTCAGATAGAAGTCATTCTGCAGCCAAACCCCAATTCACAATGAGTCAGAGATCCAAACTTGTTCTGGCCTCATGGACATCCAAAGTGGACAAACATGGTAACAATTTGCTTTAGGGCAAGAAACTCCATTTAGAAACTCCATTTTTGATATGATGTTTTCTTAATGGTGCTGTAATCTTTAGGTACTGTGATAGACTACCCATGATAGCTTTTTATTTAAAATCTAAATATCAAAGACCTATAACCCTGGGAGATAACAATTTACAACTTTTTTGAGGAGGAATGGATTTCAGCATAGTCTCAATATATCAGGTTGAAGAGTAAAGTAGTTACCCAGAAATGGAATATTTGAGGTTTCTGCATTACAAATAGGGTACCAAAGCAGTTGAATAGGTATGCAGAAATCTCTCGTGTTTGAGCTAGTTTTCCATGTTTTATTTTTTTCAGATGTGCTTAATTTTATGTTGTAAGTAAAGGTTTTTGTTTGTGCAATGCATGATTAAGGCAGTGAAATATTTCTTCTGGTCTTCCAAAAACTTTTCTGACCAAGGTTACAAGTTTTGATGAGTTTTGTAAGGTTTTTGTTTGGCAAACTATGAATCAGCAAACTTTTAAGATTGTATCTAGCAACACCTAACAAATGCACAGCTGTTGAAAAAGAATGTATATACAAAGCATATAGTAAATATTAAATTGTATAGTTGGCTACATTATTTTGTGTCAAATAATAAAATGCAATACTTTATTCTCCATCAGTAAGCTAAGAGATGAATAAAAAGCAAGCCCAAAACATGTGGGTAAGGGAGATCCCAGGGTATAGAGCCAGCTGTGAAGCCTTGAACAAGGTGCTAAAATCAACTGGGTTGTAGTTTACTCCTTTGAATAAAGAACCTGGACTTTCCCCACTCTCCCTCTGTTCCTTTATAACTTGCCACACTCCAACAAAGATTTGAGGCATCTGAATTGGCATAAAGGAAGTTTGTTTCCCTTTTACCATGATTCTACTAATAGCTTCATAAACAATGGTCATTCAACTTTGATTCTCAAGATCCTTCTTCCAGAAGATCCTTCTTCTTAAAACCTTCATCTTATTACCTTAAAACTTCCATCTATTTTTTTAATTGAAGAAACACATCATATGTTATCTGGAAAGGTGGGATGACATATTCAGGCCTTTGTTCTTCCTGAGAGTGAACATATATACTGTGATTCTATCCTGACCCAATTAAAAGATGAATACATTTGATTGTGTGATTCCACAGTGAACTCATCCATAGACAGACAATAAAACCCAACTCTCTTAGTTTATAAAGCAATCGAGCTTCCTTTCAGTAAGTGCACTCATAACATTGCCAAAGTTGTCTCAAAGATCAGGCTCATGCACACATTGTCCGTTTCCTCAACATATCAGAACTAAACTCCTTGTAGCCCCAAATAGCAGAGCTAAAACAAGTCACTTAGGTTCTCCTAAGCTCCAGTGTGCTTTTCTGACAGCCCAGAGGTGAACCGAACTCTTTGGAGAAGAACCTGTTTCCCTACAGCTCAGAGGCTGAGCCAAATGAAGGCTCCTCCCTCTAACCCTGTGGACTCTACGCCTGGAGCCGATTACTCAAGTAACAAGGAGGCTAAGCTGTGAGTGTTGTTTTTAGACCTTTAGTGAAAACAAATGGAATTTGTGGTGTCAGGAATTATATACCAGCATTACCTAAACTATGTACTGCAGGATAAAAATGTTAATCCATCTGTTAACCCACATCTCTGTGGATAAGGTACCACAATTGTCTAAATGCATGGATTTCTGAATGGGATGTGCCTCTTACAGATTCAGAAAGCCCATCAGAACGTTTCTGAGAATTTCTGCAGGGAAGAACCTGATTTATTCAATGTCTTTAAACCTGCCTAAGAATAGAAGTCTTTTATATCATCACAATCTTCTAACACCCTGAAGCAATGACATAGCAAACACTTATTCACAGTTTTTTCTTCTGAGCCCAATTTAATAATTCGGGTAAGAGATACAGAACATATTAATGGGGGCGAGAGATGAATTTGAGTGACATTGCAAAGGAAGAACTGGATGGTTGTAGTGACTTGTGGTTAGAGGGCAAAGTTAAAGAAGCTGAAAGGCGTCTGATGCCCTTCAGTAACTGAAGATGTGGAACAGGAGGTGGATTTGGAGGGACTGTGATGAAAGTGGTCGGTGCTGGAAGAACACAACACCAGTTTGTTATAACATTCGAACCAAATCACATTTCCAAATACCACTGTTTATGAGATGATCAAATCCAAACCACCATAAAGTAGTTGGCTTTACAGTCATGTTAGTGCCATATTCAAAAAACATCTGTGTGTGCTATGACCTGTCAAATTTAAACACTTCATTCTAGCGTTTATCCCCGTTGGATTATGGTCTACGATCCACCTTCAAGTGTACATTCTATAGCTAAGTCCAAACTGTTTGTTAAATACAGCCCACACCTTAATTAAATTTCTTAGCTCTGCCTAAAGGATTACATATCAAAATCACACCTCTTTGTTAAGTTTTACATCCTTGAAGAATCACCCCAACCCATACTATCTCAAAGCGTACCTTTCAGAGCTGACTGCATTTCATTCCTTCTTTTTTTTTTTTAATATTTTTTTTTATTTTTTAAAATTTATTTATTTTTTTGAATTGATTATGCTGTTACAGTTGTTCTATTCCCCCCTTCATTCCCCTCCACCCTGCCCCCCCAACCCCACCATTACCCCCCTTTAGTTTATGTCCATGTGTCTCAAGTCCTTTAGGTTCTATATTTCCCATACTATTCTTGCCCCCCCATCTATTTTCTATCTACTGTCTATGCTACTTGTTTTCTGTACCTTCTCCCCCCATCTCCTCCTCCCACTCCCCTGTTGCTAACCCTCCTTGAGATCTTCATTTCTATGTTTCCACTCCTGATCTAGCTGTCCTTTTAGTTTGCTTTCGTTTTAGGTGTGGTTGTTAATAACTGTGAGTTTGTTGTCCTTTCACTGTTCATGTTTCTTTAACTTCTTTTTCTTAGATAAGTCCCTTTAACATTTCATATATTCCTTCCTTCATGATGCTTTATATACTCTATTATTCCATTTTAACTGTCTTATCCCTCTTACTTAGTCATAAGCCCTTTGAGCATAGAGAAAACATAAATCTCTTGATTTCTTGTTCATGGCAGGTATTCAGTAAGCTTAATTAAAACCAACTATTTACCCATATTCATACATGATTCTAGAAGTAGAGAGGTTCAATAGGAAAATACAAATATTTGAATTGTTCTAAATCTACCATAAAAATTATACTTGGTCTGAGGGGAACAATGTAAGATGCTAGACTAGAGGATTGTTTCTGCAACTTTAAGTGAGTAAAAGTCATCTGGGGATCTTATTAAGCACCAATTTCTGGTCCCAGCCTGAGATTTTAATTCAGTGGGTCTGGGGTCATGAATGTGTGTCTCTAATGAGTTCCTAGGTGACACTGATGCTGCTGGACAGTGGACAGCATCCTGAACAGCACCAGTCAAAGGGGAAGTCGGACATCACAATGCCTAGACTTAAATTCTACCACCACAATGCTCCAGCTTTATAGTCAGAAGATACCAAGTCTCTAAGCCTGGAATTCCTCACCTGTAGAATGGTGATAAGAATCATGTAACCCCATGAGACTGATAAGAGAAATAAATGGTCTATAAAGTTTGCTTCTGGCAACACTTGGGGTGGGGCATGTGCCCAAATGTTAGGTGTCAGTGCACAGTGGTCCAAGTAAGTCAACAGATGCCTAAAGAGCAGGAGCCATTGAACGATGGCCTGCGGACCAGATCTGACTCCGCCCGTTTTGGTAATGCTGATGAACTAAGAATAGTTTTAAATCCTTCAAATGACTGAAAAATATCAAAAGAATATTGTAGAACATGTGAAAATTATATGAAACTCAGATGTTAGTGTTCATAAATCATATTGAAACACAGCCATACGCTTGTTCACATATTGCCTGTGGATGCTCTCGTGCAACAGAGCTGGTCAGTCGTGTGACAGTAGGGCCGGGAGCGCCTGCAATAGACAGTGTAGCTCCTTAAGTTCGCCAGCCTCTCATACGGCACTGACTGACTTCACCAGTGAATTGTCGGGACTCGCCCCATCACTGTTTCTGAAGGCAAGGCTATACAGTGCCTACAGTTTTAATAATGAAACTGTACCAAGGTAATGAAGAATTCTTAGGAATAAAAATTGGAAAATAAGATAAATTTGAGGTATAAGTGGTAAAATGCCCCAACCCACCTTTTTTGTTGTTAAAAAAAAAGGCAGTATTTATTGTCCTTTCACTGATTACCAAAGGCAACACATGATCAGGGAAATTGGAAAATACTGTAATGTATACAAAATATCAATTGGCCATATTCCCAATAGATAACTATGTTTAAATACTTATCTTCACAAAATTGTAATTTTATTGTACAAAATTGGTTGTATAATTTAATGTGTCATTTCTCCAATATCCTCACACCACATTCTGAGCATTGTTTAATGAGGAACGCTCCTGTTTATGCCATTCAATTATTGCTCTCATAAGACTGTATTATTCATGATGCTATAAAAACTTTCTGAAAATCCCCTTTCCCACTATGACAGATTTGTCTAAATTTGGGCAGCTTTAGAGGGAAGAGTTCACACAAGGGGTATGCCAGTCTTTGATTCCCTAGATCTGCAAACCAAACCAATTTGAGGGGACTTCTACTTTATGAATAGTAAAATGAGATGACTTGTTATCTTTGACCATGTTTGTTTATTCTAAAACCCATTCTTAAATCTGTATCATTACAATCAGGTAACATTTTGTTTGAAATGCCCCCTTCCGTTAGAAAAACACGCAATAATCTTATCAAAAATATTTTATTTACAAAAAATTAATTATACTATACATCCTATACTGGAAATACATTGAATAATTGCTAAAATAAATACAGGCAATTAATTCAATCTTTTTTAAGAATGAGAGAATTTGACATTTGAATGTTATCAAAGTTTAACTTAGAACATAAATAGTTAAAAAGGCAAACTCAAGTTTTAGTCTCATTTATTGGCATGGTGTCGGTTTCCCACAAGCTGTCCAATCAGTGAGTCGGAGTGGCAGAGCGTTATGTACCTTGCTGTGTTCCGAAGGTAGAATGTGCTTTTTCTTAGGATGGACCAAGAGATGTCTGCATGAAGCAGCAGAAAGGCAGGAAGCACATGAAGGCTTTTCCACATGACTTTGCTTCCTCACAATACTTTCTATGCAACTATTCATGTGTTCAACTGTGTTTTTAACATAGGTCTGTCTACACAGCACCAGCTACAAGGCAAGATGGGTCATGTCAAGTCAGACTGGATAACCAAGGATCTGGAGAAGCAAAATTAGCTAGACTACAGGTACCTGACTCATTATTTTTTATGTGCCAATTCTTGATACTTATTAAACCTTGATAGCATTTCTCCTATGTAAACATATTTATGTTGGCCAACAGAAAAGATGAATTATCTGTAGAATTCAGGAAAAAGCCTCACTAGAAAGTAAGAGCACACGGTTTGAATCTGTGTGCTTTCTCTTTATCATACTTGATCCAACTTGATCATAAGAACTTCATACTGACACAGAAAGTGAACTGGCAAGCTGGAAAGACAGTTTTGATAGGATCAATATATCAATAGGATCAGGTGAATTCAGGCCACAGAACGGAATGTGAGGAACTGTGTTGCATTTATCCAAATTATACAGATAATTTTTTCTACTTCTCATTTTCCTCAGCCTGAGAAAACACTGCCAGAATCTCCAACGGTTATTCATCTTTGATAAATGTGTTCTGTCCAGTGCTGGATGCCCGGTGCTTTCTTGAGGACTAGCTTTCCCTTTTCTTATGAAAAAAATTGCACTTTTCTACCCTTTGGCCTTGACTTTCAATTTACTTTTTTGTACACATAATTATGTATTTTTACTCCTGAAATGTGACAGGTATATTGGCCTTTACAAAAAGAAATGAAGGAAAGTTAGTATATTGGATGTTTAAATACGTTTCACAGAAATAAACTGTTTAATTTGTTAAGGTAGAGAAGAAAGAAACACTTATTCTTTCTATCATGAACAACATCAGTCAACCACGCTTCACATTTTGGGCAGGTTTTATAAGTTTGAATTTTTTTTCAGAACCTATTTTATTTAATTTTTTTTAAAAGGAAGAAAACAGGTGTATTTTGGCAGAAGTAAAATATAGAATATGCAAAATTTGTTTTAAAAAATTGGCATACAAAATTTTAAAACACAGTACAATTATATAAAATTACAGCATAGCCAACGGCCTTTAAAATTTCCTTTGGCATTTCATTTGGTAGTCTGAAACAGAAAATGGGTAGTCTTTCTAAAAAAAAAAAAATTAGCTAACAACACAGTCCATAAGTTAGGTTGTATACGTTGTAAGAACTTTTCCTTGAGTTTCCAAAATCCTTTTCTTCCACAATAACCCACATAAAGCATGGCTAGTGAGGTATATAGGGCAAACACTGTTAGGTGGATGTACAGTAAAGGAAAAAGTGCATAAACAAAGAAGTCTTCCCATTTTCATAGAAATAACAAGTTAAATCTGAGTTTCTTGTTGATGTATCATTTTACTTTGGCAGAATTTTAAAAAACCCATAGAAATGTCTTTGTTCAAGTCCCAGCAGCAGTGATATGTCTCCTGTGGTGGCAATTCATTATCTCATGCCACAATACTAGAGAGTCCCTAGAGGAACTAAGGTTTTGTGTCTGCACGTGTGGTTGCAAACATCCAACAATGTAAGATTATACATCAAGCACCATGTCGTACTGTTGTCCCTTCTTCCGCCTGCCACACTTGCTGATGAGAACCACGTACAGAGTCAAAAGCATAACCCAATAGCATACATAGAGCAATGTTCCAACAATCAGGACTGTCTGTTTGGATTCTGAGAATGGCTTTTTAGATTCCTTATAAATGGTGAAAATCACACCACCCAGGAGGATTGTAAACCAAACTGAGACTGGAATGAGTCCTATGAAATTAACAACAATCGTTTTCCTTCCAGATGTGCCCCACCCAGCCTTGTTTATCGTAGCAATTGCAAACATCTTGGCGGGAAGTAAACTTGACATGTACAACACTGAGTAGAGGGACATGAACACCATGACGATATTTCCTCTAAGGCAGCTGGCAAAGGATGATTTGATGAGACCCACTAACTGGACAGTTAACAAGAAGAGGAGGATGTTCCAAATTTTGCCGCGGTAGAAGAGCTGGATTACTGTGGCAATAAGAAAGAAAGGGAAGAATCCAGTGATAACCGCTTCGTAGGTCATCCACAAGTGATGTTTATGAAACCACATGGCATTGTACAGCCACTCTCGGAAATACGACTTGCTCCAGCGTGTCTGCTGGTTTAACCATCTGAGATATTCTACAGGTGTTTCCGTAAGGCACTTGGATCGAGCTGTGTATTTTGTTAAATAGCCCAGACTCAGCACTCGGTTCGTAAGATGCCGGTCATCACCGAAACTGCACTGGCTGCCCATAAATTCCTGATTGTACCAGTCTTCCACAAATTCATGCAGCAAGGAGTTCCTGTACATTCCCAGAGGTCCACTAATGCACTGGACACACCCAAAATAAGACTGACAGGCCCTTTCTATGTTAAAAGCCATCCAGTATCTCACACTGCTGAGGAAGGAGATCCAGGAATCATACTTGTTTAAAATCTGCAAAAAGAAAAAAAATAAAAGGTAAGCCTTGGTTAAAAATACCAACAAAATCCTACCATCCTGAGGTTAGTAAATAGAGCAAGGTTTGTTATTTTGTGTTTCTGTTTTGGCTTCCTTCCCTTTTTTGACTTGACTATTTTTTCACTCTGATTCTGTATTATTAATTAATCGGAGAAGTTGTGAGCATGTGTAGGATCTTTCTTTTCGCTCTGCTTTTTGTTCATATTATAATATTAAGATTCTCTCTTTTTTTTGGCTTTAGTTCCCAGTCCCTAAATTCTTCTTCCAGGCAGTTTTCTGCCGTCTAGGATTTGAAGGTTTTTAAGTCCTATTGCCTCCTATCCTGGTTAATTTCCAACTCATCCAATCCTTGGCTACAAAATTTTCCTTCTCTTTCCTACTATTTTGCAATGCCAGTGATAAAAGGGTTTGCTTTGGCCTCCCTCCACATCTTGAATCCTGCAACAATGCTCTGTGTAAAGGCTATTCAAAATTATCAGCTTTTTCTTGGCACTATTTCTAAATTCTCCCCTCTGCCACAATTTTGTTCTGTGTCCATCTGCATTTTGCATGCTTCCTTTTTACCCCCCAGGTATTTTTTGCCCATGGTAATGCATTTACTTTATCTTCACTATCGCCATGAAAATACAAAATAGTCTTACAGCAACACAATAGCTAAAGTAAAATTTCACGTGCTTTTCATTCACATTTTGCTAAAACCTAATTTCACATTTGCAAAGAACTCATTTTAATCTTCACAATTTTTGCATATTTTCCCATTCCAATATTTGTTTCACAAATTGTTTCTCCACTAATAGCAAATTAATTTTACTGATTAAATAATTTGTAAAAAATTAATAATCAGAAAACCCACTTATATTAGTAATTATTCCTTTGCCTTTCTCACAAATATAAATGTAAGTTGCTGTTTCTTTTCTTTCTTCGTTTTCTAGTTCAGATTTGATCAACCACATATTGGTCAGCTTTCAAAGACATAGGTATGCGGAAGAAAATCCCCTTCCTGCTATACTTCAGTTTATTTGCAACTAAGTGAATTGCAACAACAGATTTTACCAGAATGTTAAGTTATGGCTCAAGAACATAACTTATCAGCCACTACAGACATGGATTATACCCCAGGATTAATCAAAGAAATTCTAATTTCTTTGCAATTAGAAAAAAAAGAGGCAGTAAGCTGGCTCCAAAGCACATTCTAATGTGTGATACCTGGCACTCCTAAAGTGACTTGGGCAAAAGTAAAGCCATACACACCTGGACATCTCCCCCAACACCCCCAACCATGGGGTCTTCTTCTAAAACTTTCACCATCTCCACAGAAGAGGCTGGGTCAAGCATGGTGTCTGAATCACACACCTGTAAAGAAGAAAATGAGTGATTAAAGAAAAGGGGAAAACTTTTCCCCTTTTCTTTACCGAACGCACACAGGGCCCAGCACAAATAATGCCCCTGATTTATTACAAAATCTTTTAGTACAAAATCATAAGCACGCAATTTTATAACATAATACTATCACACTCAAGCACACCATATGGCATCTTAGGTGGAATGTCCAGATCAAAACCATAAATGATCACACCCATATCATTACCCCACCAACCACACTCACACAGGCGTTACTTCTGCTGGACCCAGTATATTACATCTTCAGCCTTCTTGCCACAAGGCCTCAATAAGTGATTCAGCATCACAGGAATGAGAAGTTGTTTCACCATGGCCAATGCAAAGAGCTTGTTTTCCACCAAGTTCAATACTTAAATTGATGACAGTGCTGGATAAAACAGTTGAAGTGATGTGCTAGGTGTCTTACAGGGAGGGTGACCAGCTTGTCCCAATTTGCCAAGGATGGTCCCAATTTTGGTAACAACCCAAGTAACATCCCAGTTTTCCAGGACTTACAAAATATCTTGGGTTTTACTCTAGATGTTTTTCTTTTTCAATTGCCTTAAATAAGGCTTTTAGGCGACTTGTCCCTCAGGTGGGAATGATGCTAGGAACACCCCTGTGACAGTATTAAAAGGGAGGCACACTGAACAGTCCCCCCCATTTTAATATGATGGATAAAAGACAGAAAACCCTCCTACAGCTGGGTGCACGCTGAAGCAACACGTGAATGACCTGAGCAGATGACATTGCACCAAAAAGGGAACTAGCAAGATGTTCAGACCACTTTATATTTTAGAGTATCAGTAGTCACCTAGCCTTTTGTATATAAAAGCAGATGTAAATTATCTTAATCCATTTTAGAATTGCTAATTGTTCTTACAAACAATCCTTATATGGATCAAAAAAGAAAAAAAAATACTATGACTTTAAGAAGATTATTCGGATTAGCATAGGCCTGTGGACCCAACAGACATTCTTGTGGGAGGCCCAAGTAGACAGGGTCATAAACAGTACTTTTTGCAGCCTGACTTCTGAACCAATTGGAAAATAAAGAATAAGGGATTAAGAAACCAAAATATCACCTGTAGAGCCATTATGTGGATATAAATAATAGGCCTTACATCTGTGCAATAGCAGGGCTTCATAATGATGTTCGCTGGTATAAGACAGAGTTCTCTGTGATAGTAAACGGCATGAAAGGGGGGCCAGCCTCCTCCTGCAAATACAGCGCATGCTCCTTGTAAAGGTATGACAGATGACCCTTGGCAATAGCTCACTCCAGGGAAAGGAAAAAGGAGGAGTTGGGCTACTTCTTACTCTTTCCATCATACTCAATCAGATTAAGTCGCTTCTCTCTTAGAGAGCAAATGAGTCTACCTTGTCTCACAGGTGGGTTATACCTGTGGATGGAGCATCTAATACACCATCAAAGACAATCAGAAGACAAAGTACTGCCACCTCTCTATTCCTGATTGATACTAAGAAGCCACAGGAATTAAGAAAGTTCTGGCCAAAGACAGAGGCGTAGGTAGAAACCCTTTGCTTCCTCGCACTACCAAAAGGGGGATAACGACCAATCTAAAATCAATAAACAACCAGAAGTACCAGAAAATCAAACTGCATGGAACTCCAACAACCAAGGAATTAAAAGAAAAATCAACTAGAACAACCAAACCAGTAAAAGGCAGACCCCACAGGACAGGCAACTCAGAAAAAACCAATGCCCAGTAGCTGAGGGGCGGGGCTGACTGACAAGCTCAGTGGAGCTGCATGAGGGACTGACTTAAAGGGAAAAGTGAGATTCAGAGCTGACTGTGGGCTAAGGCTGGGGTTGCTTCAGTGGAAGATAACTTCCAGTCTGACTCGAGTCTGTTGGAAAGTGCACTAGAGACAAGCAGGTGAGCTGCATTGCTTCCTCTCTGGACCCTCCCCAACAGGCAGCACAGCAAAGAGGGTTGCCCTGCCTGGGTGAATACCCATGGCCCTGCCCCTTACAATTTACCAGGTGTACCAAGACAAAGAAATATGGCCCAAATGAAAGAACACGGCAGAACCTCAGAATTAGCCCTGGCTGGTGTAGCTCAGTGGATTGAGCGCGGGCCTTCGAACCAGAGGATTGCAGTTCAATTCCAAGTCAGGGCACATGCCTTGGTTGCAGACCAGTTCCCAGCAGGGGACACATGAGAGGCAACTACACAGATATTTCTCTCCCTCTCTCTTTCCCTTCCCCTCTAAAGATAAATAAATTTTTAAAAATCTTAAACAAAACAAAAAAAAAAACCCTCAGAAGGACATTGCCAACCTAATTGATGGAGAATTTAAAGCCCTGGTAATTAAAATGCCCACAGAACTGATTCAACTTGGCCAAAAAATGCAAGATACCCAAAATGAAATAAAGCAAAATATTCAAGAAACCAACAGTGTCAAGAAGGAAACCAGGATTCAGAGCAACAATTTGGAAAACAAGGAAGAAATAAACATCCAACTGGATCAGAACAAAGAAACAAGAATCCAAAAAAATGAAGAGAGGCTGAGGACTCTCTGGGACAACCTGAAACGATCCAATATTTGAATTACAGGGGTGCCAGAAGGAGAAGAGCAACAGCAAGAAATTGAAAACTTATTTGAACAAATAATGAAGGAAAACTTCCCCAATCTGGCGAAGTAAATAGAAACTTTCAGGAAGTCCAGGAAACCCAGAGTTCCAAAGAAGTTGGTCCCAAATAGGAACACACCAAGGCACAGCATCAGTAAGTTACCCAAGATAATAAAGACAAAGAGAAAATCTTAAGAGCAGCAAGAGAAAACACTTGCCTACAAAGGAGTTTCCATAAGGCTATCAGATGATTTCTCAAAAGAAACTTTATAGGCAAGGACCTACACACAAGATTACTCTATCCAGCAAAGCTTTCATTTAGAATGGAAGGGCAGATTAAGTGCTTTCCAGATAAGGTCAAAGGAGTTCATCATCACCAAGCCCTTACTATATGAAAGGTTAAAGGGACTTATCTAAGAAAAAAGATATGAACAATAAAATGACAATGAACTCATATTTATCAACAAATGAACCTAAAAGAAAATAAAACAACAAAAACAGAAACTAGGCAAACGGCCAGAACAGGAACAGAATCGGAGAAGTGGAAATCACAAAGGGTTCAGTGGGGGAGGGGGAAGGGAGGAAGAGGAGGGAAAAGGTACAGGGAGGAAGAAGCATAATTTACTAAGCATAAAATACATGGGGAAAGATAAAAAAATGGTATAGGAAACAGGACTCAAAAGAACTTGTATGTGCAACCCGTGGACATGAACTAAGGGGGGGAATGCTAGAGGGTTGGGGGAACAGGGTAGAGGGGGGGTAAAGGGGAAAAATTGGGAAAACTATTTTGCCATCGAGTCTGGCTATTCTGAATTTGTTTACTCAAAATGAATTTATTCATATCAAATTTAACTATCTTTACAGTTCTCCAAACTACTTCATACAAATAATAGGGACCTAACGTATCAGTTTCAAACAACAAAACTATAATCTAGCTAAGGAATCTCAACATTTAAAAAAATGTGTCAATTTTACTAATAGCTACTTTTCTGAAGATAATATTAAGAATCTTGATGAAAGTAATTTAAATGTATTATTGGAGCACATGGGGGAATCCAGTGCTAAAAAATGAACTTATCACTTCATTGGATTTAACTAAGTACAGTGAATTTTAGGGTTAAATTCTGAAACTTTTTATTTCATTTAACTTATTTAGAAGAATCCATTTCTTAATAAAAACCATTCATTCATTCAGTCAGTCAATCCAGCATGGTCTCACTTACTTTAGAAGGAAAAAAATTTCAGTCAGCAGCTAGGCATTAATTTTTCGTTGCAGAAAAACAGGATTTTACTAACATTTGGATTTGTAGCCAATCATCCCAAGCCCCAGAAGCCTAAACAAATTCCTCCAAGGCAATGATCCTCCTCTGCAATGCCTTGTCTATCACTGGTTTGTATGTGGCTACAAGGAGGGCGGGCCAGTAGGGAGGGTGGAGAGAGTGGAGGCAGAAGTCCAATCCACCTTTAGACTCCAAGATCCTGAGTTTAGGGCCACACCCCCCTCTATTGACTCAAGCTGGGAAAGGTAAAACCAGAAAGCTAAAATAAGACTAAAAACAACAGGAAGGGGGCAATCCAGAATTAATGTTCAAGTAACTCCGCCTGCTTGTGAGCCTAAGCAGACCAAGGCTGCTACCCCTTTGAAATGACTAAACTTGAACCCAACTTGAGGCTCTGCATATTTAAATTGGCCCTCCCCACCCCCAGTTTCCAAGAGCAAAATGCCAGGAGTCCTCAGAGACTGTTTGTATGGTAAGTTTAACTGTGTTGAAAGGGAAAGCTCTCAGAAATGCCTTGGAAAGGGGTTTGTTATAGTAGCTTTAAGAAGTTCAGTTTTGGGATGTTATTGGGTGATAGAATGCCAATTAGAAAGCCACCGTCTGTGACAGTCTGTAACAGCCTGTATTGCTCTTAGACCTAATAGTATTTATAGTTTTAGTGTAGGAAGAGTGTAGTCAGTATAGTAAGAACAGGATTTCCAGCTGTCTCCTCACTAATTTAAAACAAGTATGCAATTTCATTAATGTCGGTGGGCTGTTTAGCTCTAGGCTAGATAGAAGGTGTGGGGGAGGACAGACCCCAGTTCACACAGAGCTTAACCTCACAGAGAAAACACCGGAAACTATTAGAGCACAAATCAGAGCGTCTTTCTGTCCACACCGAATGCATCTATGTAATTTGTCTCAACCACATGATTTCTCACTAGGAGATACTGAAGTGGGGCGCAGCCATTGAATTTTGACTAAAATGAGTTGAAAACCTCAAGACAAAAAGACATTATTGCAAGGACCCAGCCACCTCATTTTTAACCACAAAATCATCACCTAAAGTGCATGAGATGTCCTAACTGGTGTAGCTCAGTGGATTGGGAGTC